ATAGGAACAACGAAGGATAAAGGAATTAATATCAAAAGCAAATAATTAGGGGCGCCTGGGTGGCTCAGTGGGTTAAAGCCTCTGCCTTCGGCTCAGGTCATGATCTCAGGGTCCTAGGATCGAGCCCCACATCGGGCTCTCTGCTGAGCAGGGAGCCTGTTTCCTCCTCTATCTCTCTCTGCCTGCCTCTATGCCTGCTTGTGATTTCTGTGTGTGTCAAAAAAATAAAATCTTTTAAAAAAAAAAAAGCAAATAATTAGCCAAACCCAGAATGTAGGAAATGCTACAAGATCTCAGATGGTGGGGCGGGGAGGGTGGGGGGTTATGGTTAAATGGGGAGACCATTACTTAGGCTTAAAAAAACATAAACTTAATACAGTATGCAGACCTTGTTCATTCAAGTCCTGATTCAAAGAAACTATCTGTAAATGCCACTTTTCCCTAAACAATCATAAAATGTTGAATTATGTACTAGATAGTAGATATTAAGAAACTGTTAATTATAGTAAAAAGGCACTGTGGCCATTTTTAAAAAAATCCTGACCTGATAAGAAATACATTCTAACATATTTAAAGGTAAACTGACACTGTGTGATATGCTTTAAAATACTTCACTAAGAAATTGAGAAAAATAGGGGCGCCTGAGTGGCTCAGTGGGTTAAGCCTCTGCCTTCGGCTCAGGTCATGATCTCGGGGTCCTGGGATCAAGCCCCGCACAGGGCTCTCTGCTCAGCAGGGAGCCTGTTTCCCCCTCTGCCTCTCTGCCTACTTGGGATTTCTCTCTCTGCCAAATAAATAAATAAAATCTTAAAAAAAAAATCACAAAAATTCCATTATCTATTACATCTTGAAAAACGAGTACTCAGAAAATACTCAGTTACAAAAAAGAATCTACATTATTAACTGGTGCTGCTTTGGCTCTCTGGAAATGTTTCTTTCCAGCTAATAATAAACCTTAGAAATAAGTATAAAAAACTGAAAAGAGGGGCACCTAGGTGGCGGAGTCCTTGAGTCTGCCTTTGGCTTGGGTCATGATCCCAGGGTCCTAAAATCAAGTCCCATATAGAGCAGGGGCCTGCTTCTCCCTCTCCCACTCCCCTTGCTTGTGTTCCCGCCCTTGCTGTGTCTCTGTCAAAAAAATAAATAAATAGATAGATAGATAAATAAATAGCTGAAAAGAACAACACGTGGGTGGCTCAGTCAATTAAGCGTAGGCCTGCGGCACAGGTCACGATCTGCAGTGTCTTGGGATCAAGCCCATCTGGCTCCCTGGAGTCTGGGGCTCCCTCGGCCCCTCCTCCCCACCACCTGGGCTCTCTCTTGCTCTGCTCTCTCTCAAATAAATTTAAAAATCGCTTTAAAAAGCTGGCAAGAGGGGCGCCTGGGTGGCTCAGTGGGTTAAGCCACTGCCTTCGGCTCAGGTCATGATCTCAGGGTCCTGGGATCGAGCCCCGCATCACATCGGGCTCTCTGCTCAGCAGGAAGCCTGCTTCCGTTCCTCTCTCTCTGCCTGCCTCTCTGCCTACTTGTGATCTCTGTCAAATAAATAAATAAAATCTTAAAAAAAAAAAAAGCTGGCAAGAGGGGCACCTGGGTGGCTCAGTGGGTTAAAGCCTCTGCCTTCAGCTCAGGTCATGATCCCTGGGTCCTGGGATCGAGCCCCGAATCAGGCTCTCTGCTCAGCAGGGAGCCTGCTCCCCCCTCTCTCTCTGCCTGCCTCTCTGCCTATTTGTGATCTCTGTCAAATAAATAAATAAAATCTTCTAAAAAAAAAAAAGGTGAAAAGAATTTGCCTACTTTTAAGTGAATGAGGGATAAAAGTTCTTTGTGCAGTTTTCTTGCTTTCAAAAAAAAAAAAAAAAACCTCTCCCTGGAACAAACTGACGGTTGCCAGAGAGGAGGTGGTGGAGGGACAGGCAAAAATGGGTGAAGGGAAGTGGGAATACAGGTTATGGAATGAGTAAGTCACAAAGATAAAAGGTACAATACAGGAAATCTAGTCAGTGGTATTGTACTAGCGCTGTGCGGCGACAGGAGCTGCACTTGCCTAAGCACAGCATAATGGATAGAGCTGTCAAACCACTACAGATATACCTAAAACGAACGTGACATCATGTGTTAACTGTATTCAACTTAAAAAAATAATAAATAAAATAACCCAAAGGACTCTTCCTCAAGAGAGATGGGTTTATTGACAGGGAAGCCATGGGGCACCTGGGTGGCTCAGTCAGTTAAGCACCTGCCTTCAACTCAGGTCATGATCCCTGGGTTCTGGGATCAAGCCCCACTTCTGGCTCCCTGCTCAGTGCAGAGTCTGCTTCTCCCTCTTTCTCTTCCCTTCCCTCTTGCACACTCTCTCTCAAATAAATAAAATCTTAAAAAAAAAAAAAAAAAAGTAAAGAAAGAGAAGCCAATTCCACCACTTCATTCCACAGTACAGCAGAAGTAAGGATATCCCAGGGCAGGCCAAACTACCCTCTTTTTCAGTGCATTTGAAGAGTGAAGGACTATGACACATGGGCCTGTAGAACTGACTCAGGATGCACGTCCATTTCCAGACTCTCCTCCCCTCACTGGGTATGTGTGCATGAGCTGGTCTCCAAATTACTGTCTCCAATCCTGCGTGGTACTCTTCTCCAAGTTTCCACTTCCACCATTCAATCCCCACCATGACGAATGATGAACTCAGTTTCTTCAATGGGTCAAGTCCTTTTAACATTTACCTCCTAGGTGTTTTTAGTACTGAGTTTTTCAAACTACAAGTTGTACCCAGTGAGTCTTAACTGCTCCCTCCATTAATGAAATAGAAGAGAATAGAAAATAAAAGTAAATAACAAAGGAAGTTTTGTTCTTGTGGAGCCTGTTTCTGTTATTGAAAACAGCCAACACAAAATGGTTAAGCACCTTTGTATGAGGCACTCTTTAAAGCAGTAACTTTTTTTTAATTTTGGCAACAACTCATTCAATCCTTACAGAGATCCTATCAGGTAGATATACTATTGTCCTCATTTTCAAAGGAGAAACTGAGGCAGAGAGGAAGATAACTTGCCAAAAATGGTCTTAGAGTCCAACCACTCTGGCTGAAGAGCCAGAGTTCTTAACCATTCCCCCTCCTATATGTACCGGGCCACAATATAAAACTTATTTTTAAGTTTTGGTTTAAAAAACCAAACCATGGTTTTAAAAAGTTTGAAATCCACTGCCTTTGGATTTCAGATATCATCAAGCACCTGTCCTTTTTCCTCTTCTGTGATATATTTTCTATTGAAATTCTTATTCTTCTACCTAGGTCAAAAGTCACTTCCTCGGCCGAGGCTTTCTGACACTCCAAGGGAAGCTGATGGCACCAGAGCCCCTCTATTACCACTTACCACATTTTTTTATTTGTGTTGTCTACTAGGCTGAAATCAGAGAGCAGTTCACTCATCTCTTGGTGATGCTGGAAGAGTGGTTTTTACCCTACACTTAGTCCAACAGACTCCACCTCATCTTTAAATCTCTACCTCTGAAGACAACTGTGATTTTAAGACTAATTCAATTAAAAACTTGTCAGAATTTAGCAGGATTAATCATTCGTAACTCTTTAAAGCCCTAAGGACCTCTACTAAACATTACTGTCTGATTTTCTTTCAACTACATATTTGAGAGTAATAAAAACTTAAAAAAAAAAACTACTGTACTATTCAGATGTTTAGTTCCTACCAAATCTGTAACACACCTACGCAGGTAAAGCGTGTAGCAAGAGTATACTCCAGCACAGTTTGCAAAACAATGTGCCTGGAACAACTTAAAACTCCATCCGTGGGGAACTGGCTAAGGAAACTGTTGCACAACCCTCTAAAACAACACTATGCACGTGTTTAAAAGAAAAGTATGACCTCTATATTTGATGGAAAGCTGTCCCTGGTGTTATCTTAAAAACTTAAGGTGCATAACAATGCATACAAAATGACCCCACTGTTGTTTAAAAATGCGAGTACTGTAGCAAAAAGTCAGGAAGGACGTCATCAAGCAGTTAACAGCAGCTAGCCTGAGGAGAGAACCGGTTAGGGTGAATGAACAGTTAAACTTTACACGCTTCTGTATTCTGTGCTTTTTTTTTTTTTTTTAACTTCAGACACACTTTTTTTTTTTTAAATAAACTACAAAAATCTGTGATCCTGACCAGTAGTGTGTGAAACAAAATATTCTGAAATAAATACTTTTAAACTGAATTATCTTTTGGGTGTCAGGAAGGTATGAGGAGGGAGGAGACAAAACCTAAACTGAGATGTAGGAATACTTAACACCCAAGGTACTAAGTACCTTTGACAGGTGACCTGTTCCGGGTGGAGGAGCTGCCTAACCAACACAGCGTTTCCCCGATGACAGGGAAAAGCAACAGCATGTTCTGCAGGTGTCGCTTTAAGAGTGGTTTATCGAAATCCGGGGGGGGATCCACTGGACGGTCGGCCGTTTATAAAGTACGTATTTTCCCCAGCCCCAACTCCGGATGTTCTGCTTGGGCGGGTCTGGGTGTGGTCCCGAAATGAGCCCTCTTCAAACTGGCACTCGAGCGCCTCGGACACAGATGGTGCGCAGACCTGAAAGTGACTACCTTCAAATCTTGAGACACATCAATGTCCCTCTTCCCCCCAGCCCCCTGTGGCCACTATTTCCTCCAAAGGGCCTCAGTAGGTTTCCAATGTTGCGTCCAGTTAAACATCGTCCACCGACCACTTCGAGTCGAGGTTTGTAACTTGGTGGCCGAACGGTAGCAAGCACGTCACTGCACCTCCATTTTTACCTTCCGCGGGGCCTCAGCGCAGAACCCTTCCCCCACCAGCCCTTCTTCAGCCCGGCACGACCGTCCCAACGCCGCCACCCATGCTTCAAGCTCCACCCGCCCGCCGCCCCAGCTCCGAGGTCCACCGAACTGGCCGCGCCACCGCCCGCTCCCCGCTCTCCACCTCCGGCCCCCAGCCGCTGGGGACCCGGCAGCCGAAACCCAAGAGCCACACCTTAAGCCCGCTCCATGAGTCGCTCCCCCGCCGAGCCCGGGTGGGGGGAGGGGACGTCAGTCACAGGCCCGAAGGCCTCAGCAGCATTTTGAAACGGCGAGTAGAGAGAGCGCAATTTCCGGCCTCCTGAACCCGTCTCGTACAAGGGCTTCCGGTGAGGCCTCCGGAAACCATAGAGGTTCCCCTGGAGTGCTAGAAAGGTAGAAGGGCTGGGCTCTCCCTGCCATAGAGTAGAGCCCAGTCCAGAGAGAGAGAGTCGCAGGTCTTGGAAGACTGAGTTGTGAGAGAACGTTTCAGGAGCTCGCAGAGTCTGACGGTATTCACAGACGTGTCCTAGGAAATCAAAAATCAAGGAAGGGAGAAACCTAATAGCATAGTCAAAGACAGCCTTTTGCTCTTCCAATAACCACCATTTTCCTCACAGTTGACTTGAATATTCACTCTTAACTCCCCAGAAGTGGTGGCTGAAGAGGGCAAAGAACATGTTAGCGTTGTCGCTAATTGGGGGAGATAGGACTAGAATATACACGACTAACTCAAGACACGTGGTAAATGCTGAAAGAAGTGCAAAAAACCGGGAGGTGGGGCTTCTTTGGATCATACAACCTGATGACCTCTCAGGTTGGCCGACTTCCACCTCTGCCGGTGCCAAATGGTATTATCCCACTCAAATAACTTCATTTATTTCGGGATCATTCTAAATGTTAGAGGATTTTCTGAGCTGAAGTATGTTACTTTGCAATTTCTCTTGGTTTCGGTTATATACTTGGGAGAACAGAATAATGAGTCATTCTTCATAAAATGACTACTAATCAGTCATTTGAAGACAGTTCTCATGTTCCATCCCTAACCCTATCACTTGTTTTTCTGCAAGCTAAAAATCCCCTCACAGCCTTCAGCTATTTCTTACTCGACATGGCTTCAAGCCACCCTGGTCACCATGTTCTGAACAAGTACCTGTTTGTACTGTTTAAAATGTGGCTCCCCGGACTGGGTACAGACCCATGTTAGAGAAAATGGGGCAATGACCTCCCTTATTTGGCACATTGCACCTTGCTCTATTTCTGGCATAAACTTCCGTATAGCTGGGAGATCCAGATTTCTGTAAATGAGCTGAAGAATTAATTCCTTTTTCACAGTTGCTCTGAAAGAGCTTGAAGTTAGCAGCCACCTCTCAAAAAATAGAGGGGAGGGGCTTTTTTAGATGAACCACTCTCAACTGCTTCTCTCTTTTTTCTGCAATTAATTTTAGTATTTTTTTTTAAATTCCCAAGCAGTACTTTGTATCTTTTAAATAATATCTGGTTAGTTTAGGTCTCTTCCTTCTGTCTCCTGGACTCTTGGAATTATGATCCTGTCTGGCAACTCATTTTGTTTAAGATCAACAAACATTTGTTGAACACCTACTGTGTGCCAAGCACCAACCTAGAAGATTCCAAAGCAAGTAACTCCTGTGATCTGTCTAGTGGAGGATTCAGACAGTCCAGATAAAGAGAATGTGGTAAGTGCGGTTAACCTTGCCTGGAAGGTCAAGAGAGATTAGCTCTTTTACTTTGGCATTTTGCAAAATTTTGATCAACATATTTAATTCATCTTTATTGAAAGTCTTGATAGATATGTTGAATAGGACATGGTTAAGAATAGAGCTTTTCCCCTCATGGTTGATGTTGATCCATGATTAATCATTCATCTTCAAATGTTGTTCTTAAACCACTAATGATCCTACCTAATGGTCGTCAATATCTGGAAATATTTCACTATCCTTTCCCAAGAACTTCATAAAACTTCATCGAATGAATTGCTGTAGTGAAAATAAACTGTAACTAGAGCATTTCTTCTTGTCGAGTGAACTTACCAAAAAAGAAAATGAAATTAGCTTAACAAGCTCATAATTGACTCAGTGATCACCACTTCCTTCTCTAAGAACTATACTCAAAAAACCGTTTATTTAATAACGAGACAGGAAATCTGGGTTTAGTCTAGCTATTTCTAGAAACCAGAAATTTACGCAGTTCTTCAGGTTCCCAGTCGGTAAATAAAATGGCTAAATCAGATGATTTTTCTAGAGCCCCCTAGGCGTTCTAAAGGAACCAGAAGTCAATGTTCTTAATCTATAGCCTTTCCTAAAAAATTACAGTGAACTACTTCACACATAGAAAAAGGTATAAAGAAGAATATAATCTCCTTTCCCCCCCACTCTTCCTTTGTAGGTAAATATTTCCTATTTACCTATTTCCTTTGTATTTTACCTATTACAAAAAAGTTTCCCATAGTCCATTCTCCTATGGCATCTCCCTCCTTCAACTCCAAAGAGAACTATTCTGAATTTGAATATTCTATTCTGAATTCTGAATTCTGAGAAAAATTCTGAATTCTGAACTATTTACCCCTGCCATCAACCTCTTTAGAGGTATATATTCCTTAAAAATATTTCATGCTTTTAAAATGTTTATAAATGGCATCAAACTGTATGTATTCTAGAGCAACTTACATTTTTGCTGATCATTGTGAAGTTCCACAATGTTAAATCATGTGTAGTTAATTTTCAATATTGTTTAGTAATGTTGTATAGTAATATATTGAATTGTGTAATTCGTTGTTATATAGTAATTGTGATTTTTCTAGGGCCGCCATCACAAAATGCCACAGACTGGGTGACTCAAACAATAGAAATGTGTTTTCTCACAGTTCTGGGTGCTAGAAGTAAAAGATCAAGATATTGGCAAATTTGGTTAATTTAGATACTTCTCCTTGGCTTGCACGTGGCTGCCTTCTTGTTTTGTCCTCCCCTCTTGGTCTGTAAGTTGTCTGCATCCTAATGTCTTCTTATAAGGACACCAGCCAATAGGACCCACCCATATGACTTCATTCTACCTTAATCACCCCTGTAAAAGATCTGTCTCCAAATAGGGTCACATTATGAGGTGCTCAGGGGTTAAGACTTCAACATAGTAATCTGGAGGTGGGGGGACACAATTCAGCGCATAACAGTAATGAATGCACCACATTTTTTTATTCATCTCCTCCTTCAATAGATACTTGGGTTTTTCCAATAGTTTGCTGTTACAATGCTTCCATCAACATTCTTGTACTTGTGCACTCTAGGGAGTAGAACTCTCGGGTCACAAACACATTATCAGTGCTATCAGATCATAAAACAGTGCTCTCCAAAGTGGTTGTAGCAGTATACGCTCCTGATGGGTGTGTATAAGATTTATTACTCACATTATCAACAATAGCGAGACTATGGAAAGAGCCCAAGTGTCCATCGGCTGATGAACAGATAAAGAAGATGCGATACACACACACACACACACACACACACACACGGAATATTATTCAGCCACCAAAAAAAAAAAAAGAAAAGAAAAGAAAAGAAAAGAAATCTTGCCATTTACAATGAGGTTGATGAAGCTAGAGTATATTTATATTATGCCAAGGGAAATCAGTCAGAGAAAGACAAATACCATATGATCTCACTCATATGTGGAATTTAAGAAAGAAAACAGATGAACATATGGAAGGAGGGAAAGAGAAAAAGGAGAGGGAAACAAGCCATAAGAGACTCTTCTTTTTAAATTATTTTTTTTATTTTTTTATAAACATATAATGTATTATTAGTCCCAGGGGTACAGGTCTGTGAATCGCCAGGTTTACACACTTCACAGCACTCACCATAGCACATACCCTCCCCAATGTCCATAACCCCACCATCCTCTCCCTACCCCTCTCCCCCCACCCCCCCACCCCCGCTACCCTCAGTTTGTTTTGTGAGATTAAGAGTCTCTTACGGTTTGTCTCCCTCCCAATCCCATCTTGTTTCATTTATTCTTTTCCTACCCCCCAAACCCCCAACGTTGCATCTCCACTTCCTCATATCAGGGAGATCATATGATAGTTGTCTTTCTCCGATTGACTTATTTCGCTAAGAAGCCATAAGAGACTCTTAACGATAGAGAACAACTGAGGGTTGTTGGAGGGAGGTGGGTGGGGGGAGGACTAGATGGTGAGGGGTTAAAGAGGGCACTTGTTGTGATGAGTACTGGGTGTCGTATGTAATGATGGACCACTGAATTCTACTCCTGACACCAATGTTACAATGTATGTTAACTAACAAAATTTAAATTAAAAAAATAAGCTAGAAGTGCAGCAATTAAAAAAAAAGGATTCTGTTGATCCACATCTTTGCCAATCCTTGGTATTGTCAGATTATTTAAAAAAAAAAAACAATGTGATAGATGTGAGAATTTCTCATGGTGGTTTGATTTATATGAAAATATGAAAAAAATGCATTTTTGCATATCTATTGACCATGATTGCTCGCCTGTGAATTGCCTGTCCATATCTTTTGCCCATTTTTCTATTGGTTTGTCTTTTCCTTACTGATTTGTAGGAGTTCTCTATGCAATCTGGATAGTAATCCTTCTTGATTCTATGTACCACAAATAAATCTTCAAATCTATAACATTTTTTCAACTTTTTTAATGTCTTTTGATGAACAGGAGTTCTTTTGTATTGTTTTGTTTTTGAAGATTTTATTTATTTATTTGACAGAGAGAGAGAAAGCACAAGCAGGGGGAGCAGCAGAGGGAGAGGGAAAAGCAGGCTCCTGCCGAGCGGGGAGCCCAATGTGGGGCTTGATCCCAGGACCCTGGGATCATGACCTGAGCCAGAGGCAGACGCTTAATCAACTGAGCCACCCAGGTGCCCTTGAACAGGAGTTTTTTAAATGAAGTCAGATTTATTATTATTTTATGTTTCATTTCCTTTTTTTTTTTAAATTTAAGAGATTCTTCCCTGTTTTGAGGTCATAAAGATACTATTGTATACTCTCTCCTAAAAGTTCTAAAGATTCACTTTTAACATTTAGGCCTTAAACTCATTCAGAGTTGATTTTTGTGCATGTTATAATGTGGAGATCCAATTTTAGTTTTTTCAATTTGAAAAATAAAATGTGTGACTCTATTACTGAATCTGTAAACTGATTATGAGCCTATCTCTAATCCAAGAGCTTCTCTTGGGTTACTCTTTCCTTCCTATTTAACACAATCATTGAAGGCTTTGTAAAAGAGGAATCATTT